AAGGCACTTTAAAAATGCGACAGCGCGGCGCATTGAATGTGAACAGCAAAGAGGCTGTGACGTAAGGCTCACATTCGAAAAGGACCGTTTGCATTTCGCAATAGCGCGGCTGTGCGACACAGATGCAATCGACGTTGTCGCTGAAATTGAATGTCTTTTCTCTCCAAGTTGCATTCTCACCTATTCCTAAAGTTGTGACGATTCCCATAGACGCCGTCGTTTTGTTTCAGTCTGAATTTGGCAAAGGACGTAATAGCACTCGTTGGCGAGCGTTTCTTTTGTTGTTTTTGTTCACTTTTCGTTTTGTAAACGTAGCCGACGTCGTTGGTCTGCGCTCACGTAATACCGATGTACTGAGGTACTGAGAAAATGTAAACACAGAAGACGCCGACCAAAATGAAAAGCATTAAGACGTTTCGACTTCCGTTTATTGTTTTATTTTTCTAATGATACCTCTTCCCGACCAGACTATTCAGATTCAAACCATCGATTAAAAAAAGAAGGGACTATGCATACGCTAATTAAAAAAAGCAGGGCAACATTTACGACTCAGCTATCGAAAGTACACTAAACAGAGCGTCTTGCCCATGCACTCCAAAGAGGGAGTTAGTTGGACGACGGGTGGCCTGGCATTTTCGTCGCCACCGGGCTAGCCCATCACGAGCAACAGAACGGACCCCAAGCTGGCGCCAAACAGCTCTTTCACTTTCTTTCTTTCTCGCTAGAGGACAGGAGGTGACGACGGAGAGGAGCCCAGCGGGAACGACGCATAAACGTTACGATCCCGGATGAAAAAGGTTCGGAGGAAGAGGAGAACACCGAGCAAATGGAACGGGGTTGGCACCACCCTTACGTTAGGAAGGTCGTGGCACGGTTCGTATGTGACGCGAACACGCTTTTACAGAGCTGCTGCTGGCGATGGGAGGCTATGCGCGTCGTGTACTGAAGCTTGAAAGGGCTGATGAGACGAAGCATAACGGACGAAAAAAAGGTAACGTGCGGGAGTACTTTGCGGGATTGAAGGAGGAAAAAAAAAAAAAAACAGCGAGCGCTCGGTGACTGCGTGTGAAGCGAAGACCGCCGCGGGGCAGTCAGCATGGAAGCGCGAGCGGGCACCAGCAGAAGCGGAGACGGCGGCAATCAAGTCGAACCGGCAATCAGCCCCGGCTGCAATCAACGGGGTCCAGCGCGCGCCAGTGGCAGCCTTTGCTCGGCCGCCTGGTAAGCCAAGCACGCGCGGCTCTTCGCCCTCCCCCGGATGGTCCGGGGTGCGTTAACGGAGGGCATTGGAGGCGAGCCCGGAGTGGGAAAGAGGCAGCAGGCGCAAGCTGACGGCGCGCGGCGGCTATAGCGCCCGAAAACGAGCTGCCCCGAGAACTTTCCCCGATAAACACGCCCGCGTCCCGACTTATCCCTAACCCCATTGCCTTCGGTAAAAAGGGTCCGCTCGCGCTGAATAAGCGAATCGAAGTTCACTCTCTGCCAACCCGATGCGGACCTTACGGGGCCTTCTCGACAATTGTTTTTTTTTTTTTTACTCCCTTTACAGGTGAAGGTCGTCAGGATGCCGTTACGCCAGCGGTACCGTTCTGTGTCCAGAGAATGGCGTTAAACAGAGGCGAGGAGAAAAAAAAAATGTTAATTGAAGAAAGTGAGTGCTCATTTTCGATCCCAAAATGGCTTTAGGGAGGAAAAGTTAGTTTATTTTAGTCTGAAATGTCAATTCGGTGATATTAAGTGAAACGTCAAATATAAGTTAAAAATGACAATTAATTTAACATTTACCTGCTCGTGTTAAATTCGCTATGATTTAGCCTCATTAGTGCATGACATAACCTATACATTCCTTCGCACGCTGGAAAAGCATAGCCTACTGGAAAGCTGAGGTTACGATTCAGAATTACTCGGCAACTAAAATGCATTAGCCACGTAAACCTTATCATTATCCTGTCTCCACTCACTGTCAATAGGCAGCGGTACACATTTGCACAAGTGCCATTACTGTGTCAGATGGTTCAGGAACACCGTCCCTGAAAACCTGAGCACGAAGAGTGTCAATTACCGTGCAGCCCGCGCGGTCAATTTCGGAGGACTGCAGAGGGACGCCTTGAAATCGAAGACATCATTAGGAAAGCAGGCCGGCCGACCCGAACTTTTACGGTCGTAGTCTAAGATCTAAACGACGATAGAAGACCTCGAGAACTGTGAGGCTACTCGACGAACTAAGTTATTAGACGTGCCAAAGTTTCAACCAACGAAAACTGAACTCCACTACTCAAACACAGTCTGGTATCAAACCCCGGAACGATCACGAACACATAATTGAGACAAACTTTCACTAAACCGGCTAGACTCGAAACCGTTTTTGGAAGCCAAGGTGCAACCGGTGACTGCGCTTATCTGCACGAAAATCGCCGCGCTATGATGTGTTACAGAAATCATAATTGCAGGGCTGCCGCTTAACGGAACTATTCAATGCGATCAGTTCTACAAATATCTGCAACCTTGAACACTCAGTCCAAAATCGAGTTGTATGGAACCAGTATACATTGCGTCGAAAGTAGTCATCACTCCCTTGCACACTACACTACGGGCAACGCTCTAAAATAAATGAATAAAAGCTACCCTGATATCGCACAACTTTAATCCTTAGTGCTCCATTTCAGTATCACGCGTACAACACAAGACAAGGGCCGAGTGACAACCGACGACGACAAGCACTTCTCTTCGTCGGCTGTCACTTGGTTCCTAGTGTATCCCTAGTTACATTTCTAATACATCGGCCACCGCTTTGTGTTCAACGTTAGCACCTGTCTTCGTCGGTTGTCACTACGTCCTTGTACTGTGTTGTGCGTGAGATGATGAACAGGATTATTGTCACCGACGGCCATTTTTGGCGGCCCCGCGTCACGGCAATTAACGGGCGCCGTACTCCCCCACTGACCGTAAGAACGGCGGGCGCATAAAAGAGAGCCGAGAAGTGCAGAATGGGGTGCTCTTCTTGGAACGTCGCCGTCGACGTTTGATCCTTTTGTAACTGCGGCGGCGTCTGCAAGGTCGTGGAAGGCCGCGATGTACCCCGAACAGGGATTAGACTACGGGACGCACCGGCTGAGAGCCAAACACTCTGACCATTCCCACGGGGGAAACCGTGGGAAAACCTCTGGTGGCCAAGCCGTATGACAACATCCCAACAGGCTGTCACTCTCGCTAGTTGAGGGCCCTCTCCTAATTAAAAAGGGGTGGGGTCAATATATTTTTTGGGGCGGAGTTTCCATCAATTAAACGCGCATGATTGGACCCATGTAGAGGTCTCTTGTCCCCAAGGAAGAGAGCGAGGAGACACGAGGGGGATTTAAGCGCAGGATTTTGCCCTGCTAGGCAGACTAGTCGCTGACCAACATGGTGTAGAAACAGATCAACAAGCATCTCTTCTAGAAGTTTTTAGTGTGGCTCTGTATCGGCTGGCCACCTAAACTTAGCCGTTCGTCTAGTTGTGACGCGATATTAACGTCTGCAACGTAGACATCGGGACTTCGCCTCGAGTTAGCTCAACCTGCCCGAAGTCACCTGCAAGCACTAGCCTCCCGGAGCCACCAGCGTTGCAACACCGCCGACATCGCAGTCGTGCCAGAACTCTCTTCGACTTCTCGCATCCGATCGTCGGGGACGCAACGCTGCCGGTCATCACACGTATGCCTTCACCTGCTTATATCTTCGAACTTTCTCCTCCGTAGTTCTATTGTTAGTTTGTGTAGTTTGTAATAGTTCTCTCTCGTAAGCTGATTTATTGTTTTTTATATATTTTTTAGTTGTATCAAGTGTTGATGTATTTTGTTAGTTGTATTGAAGTGTTGTACTAGATCCCGTGTGCTGCAATATCACTAGAGTAAAGTTGTTTTGTTTTCTCACGTCTCTGATCCCTTCACTGTCTCTGCTTGCGTACGGAACGAACTAACCTGCTGTCATTCCCGTCGCCGACTTCGCGCTGGCGACGCTAGAGTGGTAGCTTGTAACAATTATCCGCTACTCCTTTAGGTGAATCCCGACTTTCCATCACATCACTCACATCAAATATACAAGTCAACTCTCTTTTGGGAGTGACACCTTCCCCGACTCTAAGAAGAGATTACAATAAACTACTAAAGATAGATAACGCGATTCTTTATGCTTATGTTATATATGGGGCGAGTTAGGAGTGAACTAAAAAGAGTTACCGGTATTCTGACTTTTGATATATTGTACTGCATTAGCATATATTGTACCGCGTCTTCATAAACTGCACTGCTAGCTCGTAATAAGATCACGTGCTACGTGACACCAAAAGGAAAAAAAAAGTGTTCCGCACTCTCCGCACTGGCAACTTGCGCCGCTGACTGACGCTCCCACGCCTAAATACACATATATACTTTATGAAGTGGACGGAGGGATGACGGCCACCATAGCTCAGTGGTAGAGTATCGGACGCGTCATTCGAGAGTGGCAGGTTCGGTCCTCGCTGGCAGTAAGTGATCTTTTCGTCGACTTTTATATCTTCCCATTTACATTACAATTACCTCTGATAATATCGCGTACACATTCCCTGACATCACCGTCTTTTAGTTCTCCTTAATATTGTGTCTAACAACAAAAAAACGAGCCCTTAAGTTTACACGTTTTCCTTCCTCCTCCTCCTCCTCCTCCTCCTCCTCCTACTACTACTACTACTACTACTACTACTACTACTACTACTACTACTACTACTACTACTACTACTACTACTACTACTACTACGCTCAAATGTAATTATAACAAAGTTGCTTCTTACAGAAAAATAAGTTCGTTATATCCAAAAAAATTTATCATAAAGGTATATACCAAACAAGATATCTATTGCAAGACAATTCTTCATTTCCTTTGTTATAACCAATGTTTCGTCATATTCGGGTTCGTTATATCGACGCTTGAGAGTTCTCTCAAGATAGGGGACGGGGGAAGACCAATTGTAGAGCGTTGCGTACCTCCGTTCCTTGGACCTTGAGCTTCATGTGGTCCTCCCGGGTCGTCTTGCCGTCCTTGCGCTTCTTCCAGCAGTAGCCATCACGCCGGTACCGGACCCGCTTGCGGCTGTACAGCAGCATCGACCCGCTCTTGGGCCTGGGAAGGAAACAGAGGAGGTGACAGTGGTGAGAGAGAAAAAAAAAAGAGAGTACTCGTGGCACATGTTACTCGCGCAAAAAAGATCTCGTACGCCTCGTTTATTCTTTAAACATAATCTCGAACGACCCCAACGAATCCTGAAACACTGCATTTTCCCAGATAAACATGTGTGATCACACAGAATTATAATACGGAGCACATATTTTTTTTTCGAGTAGGGAGACGACACCGATGAAACAGCACGCTCAGTTTCCACGGCAAACATTTCTCTTTTCGTTCTTTACGTCTCTGAGTGGTCGACGCCACAAGTCTGCGTTCAGATTTACAACCCGGTAACTTTCTAGGCGCACGAACTTCACGCAGCAACAAAAAATAGAAAGAAAGCGGTAAGCGAGTCACCCTGCATGCACGCGCAAAGGTTGCTTTATCGAAAGGAGCGAACAAAAGGTTGCATTGACGATAAAAAAAAAGAATACAGACAGTACACACGGGTTCGCGTAAAGGTCAACGGTGGGTGTACGGAAAAGCCGGGCTCACACGTTTGTTTCGAAACGACAGACATCGTACGATCCCACGAGGAAAGTATACTGCCGGACACGGGAGACAACGGAAAGTAAGGTCGCGCTGTCGGATGACTCGCTTGAAACAAACTCGGGGAAAGAGGAACAGTAAAGGCGGTACAACGTGGCAAGCGCGAAGATGCAGAAAGGCCCATCCGACGACACGTTTGCCCTCGGAGGAGCGGTAACGCAGCTTACGGCGTCAGTGCGTTCGTGATCTCTTCGACACACAGCGACTCTGTTGAAACTCAGGACCACACTGAAATCGGAGGGGCGTGCAATCAAACTGGCAATATAAACGCGCGGGTCACGGGAGACCTGGCTTACACGGGAACTAACGGGGAACGGTTGGCCTAGTGGCGGAGAACGCTTCCGTGACGTAGTCGACAGAGGAAGAAGACAGAAGAGCGACAGATGCGGGAAGCGACATAAACTTTGCCTCCCCCTTCCCCACACAGTGCGGCGGTTTTAAGGCGAGAGCCTTAGATGCTTCATCAAATGCGAAAAGTGAACGGTGACATCGGCGGCGTGAGCAGTGATGAAAAAAAAATCACAATCATGCGATGACGTCATCATGACGCGCGGAAACATAGGCTAGTTGGTAGGACATACCTGAATATACGAACAGCACAACCTATAAAAGTAGTTAAAGCGTAACTACGGACGCATTAAACAAGAACTGTCCTTGTTTACTGCTTCCGTAGTTACGCTGTAACTACTTCTAAACTGCGCTACTCGTAAATTAGGTGACCTTGACGTCACACGGCCGCAATGCCTGTGACGTCACTATAGGATTCCGTCGCATGATGTCAATGATGACGCAACCACATGACGTCTTCGCTTGGTCAATGATGAGCCGATCACGGAGGCCATGTAATAATACCATGGTGAGGTGCAGGCAGCGTTTGGGCGAGAATGCGACATTGATACACTCGAGTGAGTGAAAAGAAAAAGAACATGGATTTCACCATTCAGTCGTCTTGGGTGAATGCAAAAGGAACAGTGTGACCCTTTGGACGAGAATTCATTTTCCCTTTGGTTTAATTTGCCTTACAATCAGTGGCGGATCCAAAGGGCGGGGGTGGGCGTTAGGGGCAGCCCCCCCCCCCCCAAAAAAAAAGCCTGTGTCAGCACCCCCTCTCCACTCACTTCAGTGCTTATAGTCCAATCAGCAATTAGGACAAATGAGTGAAACCACTGTGAGCACACATAAACAGTACTTATGCTGTGAAAAAGTTTTTCTGCTAGTAAAAACGAAGTCATGACCACGCCCCCCTCTCCTATGTTACTTCAGGCGACCACCCCCCTAAAGTTTGTGTATCCGCCCTTGATTAGAATCAAAATTTAAAGTGGTATCAAGGGCGTCATTGGGAATGTAACTGCTTACTGTCGCAGTCCATCGAAGTCGAGGAAATGAGTAAACTATCTTATATGGAGTACAAGATTTCTTTTCGCTCCGCAAAATTACTACTGCAGAGTGCTTACTGCGTTGGTCAAGTTGAAGCAAACCTTACGAGGGAAGGGTGGTTAACGCTTATTACAGAAGTACACTAGAAAGAAAAAGTGAGGACATAAGGAGTGCCAACTGAAGAAAGGACCACGAAGAATATATTGTACAAGAAACCACGCGAACAAAATACAGTGACTGAAACAAAAGAAACAACACAACTATATTTGTAGTTTTTTTTTTCTGGAGCCCCCGAGAAGCAAACATGAACGTCAATGTAGCACGACGACTAGTTCACCCAGAAACTCTTCTTTTTGAAAAAAAAAGAACACACACACACGGAGCAAAAATGGCTTTTCGGTTATGCATGGCTCATACTACTTTGGGTAACATCGCCACTTCAAAACACTCACAAAAGAATAGGGGTGCGCGAAAAGTAAACTTGAGAAGAGAATCAAATGCAAGTATGCAACTAATATTGTTCGAATAAGTTGCGAAGAGAGAGGCAATGATTTTCCGAAACAGTTCTAGCATTCCACACTTTAAATCGAAAACAAATATTCAGGATACACGCCTGTCATCAAAGGTGAGTTCCCACAACCCTTGATGAAAATGCCACGTAATGATGAACATGTATGGTTAATGAAGATGTACCCGATAACATGCGCAATAAATCCATAAACTGCTCTTGCAATTCGGCTCAGTTGAGGTATGTTGGCAGGTAAAGTGTTGCGCTGCTGAGCTTGAGGAAGCGTGTTCGAACTGAGATGCTGCCTTGGCGACTGCATTTCCATGGGCACAAAAATTCAAGAACACATGTGCACTCATCTTTAGTAGCACGTTAAAATAATCAGATGGTGTGGTCAAAAATTAATTAGGCGTCAATGACTACAGCGTAAAACCACAAAATCCAATTTTATTTTTCGTTTTTCAAATTGAGCAGCATCTGAAAACGGGATCCAAGACTCATTGCACCGTAGCTACACACTTTTTTCAAGGAAAAAGAGAGGGGTTGTTCCGGACAAAACGGGATTCACTTAAACGAATGTGGGGCTGTGGGGTCGATAGGCGAACGCGAAAGTTCCCGACTTCTACGTCGATGGAAAGGCCAGTTTCTTCTTCTCCCCTTCGTCCACCGGCTTTACTGCTTCGAGATGGCGTGCGCAGAATATCGAAAGGACCCAGTAGAAGAGGCGTAGCTGTAACGATCAATTCGCCAAAAGGGCAGCGGCCGAAGAAAGTCACACGGACTTTCAAGCGTCCATCTAAGACGACTATAAGGCGAACGCCATGTTGTTCCTTTTCTAGTCGCTCGGCTGTATTGATCCAACCCCTCCTCCTCCTTCCCACACCTCCTCTTCATTGAAAGCTTTCTGGACTTCATATAGTCTCGCAGTTCCTTCGGGATTGGCTCAGATTTCACCAGCAGTCGATGCCGTGCGATGACATCATAATGATGTCACACATTTGAGCGACCAGTGGCGTAATTATGCAGTCAGGTGATGATGATTTCTCGCGTCACCTCAAGCTGACGCCCTTGCCAATGGCCTCGTTTTGCATTTGATGAAACAGCTAAGGAAAAAATGGGAAGAGCCATTCGTTAGGAAAACAGAAGCAAGTCACTAGGCCTATTTAATGCCAAGAAAAGTGTTGACAAAACGAGATAATGTTCCACAGATCCTCACTAGACATTATGCAACCACCATGTTCGTTTACACGTCATGCGACTTTAGCGATGTGAACTATGCTATGTCTAATAAAAACCTTCTGAAAAAACATAGAGGAAAATGGAGAGAAAGTGCAGAAAACGACGACCGGATTGAGGGCCATAGTTTGTTCAGATAACCAACAATAGAGGGTTCGAGAAGACGAATGACACAGGAAATAGGTAAATTGACATTAGAAAAACTTCGCGCACATCATTGCTAGGAACAGTCAGGAAACGAAACATACTCTATTAATGGCTTCAAAGAGTGCTGACTGAATTTACAAGCTGATAAAACTAATGTGGGAGATCAAAAGACAAAAAATAAGAAAGAAAGGCGACAGTAGGGATGATGAGAAGGCGCGGAAGACCTCGCATACGCCACAATAATGGCGGCCGATTTGGTTTAATAGGCACGCAAAAAAGCGTTTCATGTCATCAGTGTCCCCACAGTCATAACTGGCATTCAACAGCTCCACAGAATCGGTATTCTTGGAGCTGTTTAGTCGGTTTGTGTTCGAAAGCATTTGGTAAGACGTAGCGAATGAGCGTTGCTATATACAAAATGAGGAGAGTGGCTAACCAAATCAGAAAAGTGAACGACAAGAGAAGAACGTGATCGCATTCCGTTTCTTAGCGGTGCTAATATTTTTAGAGGAAGGGGAAGTAATTCGGGGAAGGACAGAGAAGACGGCGTAGTTGAAAACTAAACACCATAAGCAACTTACCTGCAGGGCGCGAAAGAAACTTTCTGAAACTGATACGGCCGCGCATGCAAATCTCTGTTCTTGCATTCAAATAATTCAACAACTTGAGTTAAAATCTAAACAAATCATCGTCAGCTGTGTTACCTTAAACTAAATGGGTTTATGCTAGGCCAAATCACTATGCACAAGTTTGGCAGTTAACGTACAAAATGCAGGTTTAACTGAATTACGTAAGCGTTTATGTTTTTTTTACTTCGTTCTTTCCAAGCCTGTCTTTGATGTCTGCCTCTTAAAGCCCCAATTCATTCATGCGCATATGTCAGCATCATCCCAAATACAACGAAAACAACTGAACAATGTGTTTGGTTACAATTGATGGCACAACAAGCAGAACAAATGATAGCTTCTGCCAATGTCTAAACGTTTATGAGGTGCAGATTCGAAATAGACGACACTAACTAACTAACTAACTAACTAACTAACTAACTAACTAACTAACTAACTAACTAACTAACTAACTAACTAACTAACTAACTAACTAACTAACTAACTAACTAACTAACTAACTAACTAACTAA